ACGCCCCCTCCTGCGGCTGCTGCTGCTGCTGCTGCTGCTGCTGCTGCTGCTGTTGCTGCTGCTGGTCAATCTTGAAGAGCTGCACCTTGGCTCTCTTGAGGAGGCTGAACATCTTCTCCTCCACTCCAGACAACGGTAAGGAACCCAGGCCTGCAGTCCGGGCCTTCTCCAGTGGTGTTATCTGCTGTGGTGATGGCGGTGGTGGCTGCAGTTGTAATTGTGGCTGCTGTGGTGGTAGTGCCTGGGGCAATAGCTGGGTTTGCAAGGCCGGGAGGGGCTGCTGTAGCTGAGCTTGAAGCTGTTGCCCATTGCTCAGAGCTGGAGCTCCATGATGGGACACCTCAGCCTTAGCAGGAGTGGTGACCACAGGGACAAATCGAGGCAGGCTGAGGTGGTTGGTACGGCCCACTGCCCGTGGCTCAGGCTCAGCTGGAGAGTCATCGGCAGGAGGCGGCTCTGGCTCAGGAGCTTCAGGAGCTCCAAGAGGAGTAGTGAGCACCGATTCGTAGATCTTCAGGTGGGGGGATGGGACTGGTGGAGGGGCAGGGGGTGGAGGGGGTGGCTCCCGTGTCAGTGAGGTCCAGCGAAATGTGGGTTCCCTTAGAATGGACCGTCTCTTCTCAGGGAGTAGGACTGGAATAGATGGAGGAGTTGGAGCACGTGGTGGAGAAGGGGCTGGTGCTGGTTCTAGGGGAGCAAGTGGGGAGGTAGCAACAGGAGGTCGCAGAATAGGTGAGATCTCCACCTTTAGGGGTTTGGGGGGGTCTTCATCCATAAATCGCCGGGGTGTCTTGATGACACGGGAGGAGCGGGCACTCACCACAGGCATGATAAACTGCCGGATATTCTTCAGGAAGGTGGTACTTTTGGGGGCCACAGTGGGACTGTCTTCCAGGAGGCCTCCTGTGGTAGTGCTAGGGGATGGAGTGGAAGGAGAGGTGCCCTCTGGCCCTGCCCGAGCAGCTTCCCGCTCTGCCCGCTGGCTGGGAGTCAGAGGAGGCCGGCCTCGCTTTCTGGAGCACGTGACTTGGACCACGGGAGGCGGAGACTCTTCCTGTTCCTCTGGGGCAGGAGGTGGCGGTGGAGGTGATGGTAGAGATGGAGGAGACACTGGGGGTGGCGGAGGGCAAAGTGGGGGTGGAGGAGATGTTGAAGGGGGGGGGAGGGGTGGAGGGGGGGGGGG